ATAACAAACCAGTTCTGAACTGTGAGAAGCTAAAGGATCTTTGGATATTGTAGCAACTGCCAGGATTTTATCATCACCTATTTAAAAATAACAGTTATATAAAACATTCTTCAAAAAAAGCAATACAAATTAGATACTCACGTGCATAATACGCCGCAAATTTAAATTCTTCCAGACTTCCTTGAATAATAACATCATCAAAACTACTGGCATAACCAGTGTAACGTATTCCTTTGCCAAGTTGATTACTCCAAAAATATGGAATTTTTTTGAACGAAACGGATGGTGTTTTAGCAATGATTCCAGCGACTGCTCGACCGGTATTTTCGGCAAACGACTAAAATATAAGAAATTAGTCCGTTTCCTTTTTATTTATTTATTGTTTATCTAGTTATTCAACAATACCCAATGCTCAATGCGGACCGACTCTCCGGTCTTATGATATATTAATCTTGCGACATCACCTTTTAGAATCGGATTAAGTGAGCAAAAAAATTGACGTTTGAGAAATATTATTTGATACGCTTGTATAGTGAACTTACCAATTGCAAAAACGTCATCAAGCCCTTCAATTTTGAAATTCTCGTCGACTTTAAGACTACCATCTTTTTCTAATGTGAATCCCGGTGAGCCTTTCAGAAACTCCTGCAGCACAAATTGAACGAAATAAATAAATAACTAGCTAAGCAAAAACACATGCTATTGTATTCTTACAGTTGCTGGTGCTACACCTGCTCCGATTACTATTACATCAGCGGGAATCCTTCTCCCATCTGTTAATATTACAGCACCTCCTCTGCTAAGTTCAGTATCTTAAAAAATTCAATAAAATTTAGGTGGAATATGATCAAAAAAAAAAAGCATATAAAGCGTATTAATGTTAAACATACTAACCCAAGGGCTCAATTTCCTTCACACCAGATTGCAAATAAAAGCTGATACCGTTTGCTTCATGCAACTTTTGAATTGCACCTCCAACCTCAATACCAAGCACTCTTTCAAAAGGAACCTAGAAAAAGACGCTATATTATATATCATAGTTCATACTTGATCACGATGTGCAAGTGATAAATAATTCCAGAAAACCTTATCCATGCCAATAACAGAGACATTAGCTTTTTTAGCACAAACCGCTGCCATTTCCATTCCAATAAAAGAGGATCCAATAATTGCGAGGTTCTTCTTTTCTTCTTTACCGATAGCTATGTTATTCGGGATAAATAAGCCAAAAATTTGAGTTAAAAAAACAAAGTAATGAAAGTTATTATGATTAACCTTGTTCAATTTTCTCATAATCTTCGAATGTACGAAGATAAAACACATTGTTGAGGCCAACTCCGGGAACTGGAATAGATCGTGGCTACATAAACGAGATATAAATAAACAAGCAGAAAATTATGGCATAAAGAAATGTCATTAAAATTTTTACAATTTTTTAAACATTAGGTTTAGGTTTGCCTAATTGTCAATGAAAATTTATATATCTTATTACCAATTGTTGCGACTGAAGCTGTGATTTTAACCTATTTAATAATAATACTGTATTTTTTTTAAAAAGTTGGGTTAGGTTAGGTTAGGATTAGGTTGTTAATATAAGAGTATAAGCGAATTTTAGTAGGTTTAATCAACAGAAACCCCACAACATCTCAGCGTCAGTCGCGACAATTAATGATTCATCCGGTTGATCAAGAGACAAACTTACTGAAGTCCCAGTAGCAATAACCAAAGAGTCATACTTCAAATTTTCACCATTATCAAGAGTAACCATTTTAGAAGAGGCATCTACCTTAGTTACAGACTAATACAATAATGCAGATCTAATATTAATGCCAAAAGAAATTCTAACTTTTCTTTGTTATTGCAATATAATACGGACCGTTCCCAGTTTAAACGTAATGAAAAGGCTATCATAAAAATCTTTATTTCGGATTTGTATTTTTTCAAGTTTTGTGCCAAAAGCTTTACTAAGTTTTGGTCTATTTCAGGAAGAGAAATATTAAAAAAATCATGTGATGAAACTTTAAGAAAACATGCATAAAACTTACCTATCAATGGGTAGGTAAGGTTCATGGCTTATAATAATAATCTTTCCGTTATACCCGTCCTAATTTAATTAAAACATTAGTAACAAATATCGCTTAAACATAATAATGTATACGGAAGTAACAACAGGTACTTCACGAAGCTTTTCTGCCGTAGCGTTTCCAGAAGCGCCACCACCGATGATTACTACAGTATGATCGCTTAACGTAAATGCACCAACAGGACACTTTGGAGGTCGTCTGGAAATTTTGAATTCTAAATTACAACATAATTTTAATTGTTGGAATTGTGTAATTCGATAAACACATTTTTCATGAATTGCTATTCATACCATCTTCATCTTCAACGTAGATGTCATCACCCTTTATGGTAACCTGTGTTGACGTAAATATCACGTGATAAAGTATAGATTAGATGTACGATTATTCTAACCGTAAGTACTGCGTACGCACGTATATACCTTGTATTTTTGAAGATTATCCAATCCAGGAGCATCCTCTAAAAATGGAAAAAACAGTCAAGAACTCGATATTGTTAATAAAATAAAAAAATTTATTACCTATATCACCGGTAGTAACATTGAAGCAAGCACCATGCCAAGGACTGAACAAAAAATATTTAAGTCAATAAAAGAATAAAATAAAAGACCAATTTTGAACGAAATGAAAGTCTTCTTGCCAAGTTATGCGACCATCGCTAGAAAATACACCTGTAGCAAGAGCAGCCTGCAATAACATAATACATCAATGTTTATCATGATAAAGAACGATCACACCTGCTTTTCATGCAACGGCCTGAAATAGCTTACTCCGTAATGAGTACATTTGTGAGAAGTTGCATGTATTTGCCCATTAACTCTTGCTAAGAGAATTCTAATGTTTCCACCCACAGTAAATTCTTTGCTATTATTCAAGTAAAAGAAACAAAATAAAAGAGTAAGTTAGAAAATTCCCAAAAATAAAGCTTAAAAATCAAGTAAAAATAAACACACAGTTGGCCGTCTCCAATATCAGAAATTTTTGCGACCTTGTACTCAACCATTGTACGATAATGAGCGGATATAAAAACGCGAGGAAATGTCGAACGTATACTTGAGAAGAATATTCGTGAGTTAAAATTATTAGTAATTAGGAAAAGAAAAACCATTAAAAGGTTAAACGATTAAATTTAAATATAACCATATCGATATTAATAACAGGATTTTATAGGAATTTTTTAAATGGCTTAGATTTGCGTATAAAACTGGTTTGCGGCGGTGTTTTGTTTCTTTATATGCTAACTATCGAAATATACTTTTTCAAATGTAGTGTTTATTACACATAGCATGTTTATTTATTATTAAATCAGCCTGTTATAAGTTAGCTCTCTTAATATTTTTACGTATAATAAATACTTTTTGCCTATAATTACTTTTTCATACCATACTGATACTTTATTTAACATGCCAGCTCTATGAGATAACTTTTTTCTGATTGTCAATCATTATACAGTTTTTCATTTCACAAAGTAAATCAGTACGTACGTATAGCCGTTTTTTCTCGCATCAAATAAGGGATAGCACCTACCAAGGGTATATTTAAAAGAACTTTTTATTACAGTATTTTATATAATTCCGGCCCACCTGACTACGATTCCGATGCATTCCGACCCGAAATTCTAGTGCATTTTATACTGACAAATCAACAATCACAAGAGCTAACCGACTACTGGACCAGAAGTAGAAGTCGAGAATTTGAATTATAACCGATTAGGACTAAATACAGTAATTTATATTTATCACGTGATTTTAATTTATAAATTTGTTAGTATATATATAATTAATTTAGAATTTTTACATTGAGTTAGTATTAGTGACGTAGAATCGTCCGTAATAATAATTTGCAACTTAATCAATGACGTAACTTTCATTAAACTATGTAAATGGCCATTGTCGTAATACGTCATAAAAGTAATTTATTCGTTTTACCATTTAGCACTGTATACAGTACCCGGGGTCTTAAATTGAATATATAGTACCCGCGGGTACTGTGTGAGGAACCGGGTACTACTGTATATGTAGGGGATATACATATCTATATATGAAAGAATATAGTGGCGCAGGTCCTATTAATTCTCAATTTAATAGATTTGTAGAATTAAAATAAAAAAGTGTTCATTGAATTTGGTTTAGTGGTTATCGAGAAATAATCGCTAAAGGTTAAAAAAAAACAAATTATTTCTTTAGCTTAAATATTCAAATTTTTTTATTTTGATTCTGTGGGTTCGCATAATTAAAATAAAAAAAATTTATCAAATTTGGATAGCAGGTTGTCAAAAAATATTCATTAAAAAAACTATTACTCAGCACTTACCTAGTCAAATTTGGTTAATTTTTTTTTTTTATTTTTTTATGAAAAAATTTTTAACAACTTGCTATTCAATTTTTTATTTTATTTTAATTCTATAAACTCAAAATTAAAATAAATTTTTTTTTAAAAAAAATATTTTAATTTAGAATGATTTTAAAACTCACTAGAGGTAAAATTTACTGGTGGTGCTGCAGTGTATAAAATCTCATCTCAAAAACATGTGCTCAATAAGCAAATTGTATGTTTAATTTATGTGAATAATTTTAAAAATTAGTGCACTGTAAATTTTTATAATACTATAAAACATTTTATATAAATATCTATTTAATTTACATATATAAAAATAAACTATGTGCATAATGTGCTCCATGTACATAGTTAAAATTTTATTAATAAATTTGGTACACTATGTGGCTAGAAATCTTGTGAATTTCATACATATTTCTAACTAAAAACATGTAAAAACTTTTAAAAATATATGCAAAAAAAATTCTTTTTGGTTTACTTTCAGAAAATTATTGATAACAAAATTTCTATACAAAACTCAATACAGTTTCTGCAAAACTTAACTAAAAGACCTCTAGCCCTTACCTTTAAAAAAAGAAAGTCTGCACCTTTAACAGTTACAGGACATTTCCCTTTAAGATAGGTCAAAATGCTATATATAATTAAAATTTTCAAAAAATATATAAATTTACTATATAACTTTGAGCTAAGATTTTCTTAAATTTTTTTTTTTTTTTATATATTGCCAAACATAGAAACTTTATTAGTCAGGATTAATACCTTTTTACAAAGCAATTGATGTACAGTTTCTAATTACATTTGTGCTACTATTACTAGTCACCCAATGTGGCATTATACTCTTAATTTCTCTATATTACTTTTCTATTAACTATTTCAAGCCAACTTCAAGCTAGGGTTGGTTGGAGCAACCTACTATTACATGTCCCACCCATGTAACTATTAATTTTCTTTCCAATTAGTACATATTAACTGCCGCTATTGTGTTCGTATCTCACGCCACCTTTTGGGGTGCAGCTGTAATACAATCTGTATCTCAATTTCAACCTTCCTAATTAGTCCTCAATTACATACTATATTACAAGATATTCTATTGTTACTTATTTTTGTACTATTACACTCCCCTATCTACTTCCTGTAGCAACTTTATAATTCTTCCAAGAATAGGATTATTTAAAAAAATTAATAATTCTAATAAAAAAAATATCAATTTATATATATTATATAAAAATTTCAAAATATTAGATTATTTTGATATTTGATATTAAATATTAAATCACTATTTAGTTCAGTATTATTAATTTAATCTAATTAATTCACAATAGTTCAAATTGTTTAAAATTATTTTGCGTAAGTCTAATTTACATAAAATCCTATTACTATTTGTTTATAATAGTAGTTAAATCATCAAAATTGAATCAATATTAGCTAAGATAGCTCAATTAAAATTTATATAATATATCAAATATTTCAATATAAAATAATTCAAACTATTTTTAAAAAATGTGAATAGTTTCGAAACTTTTTAATAAAATTTGTGATTTTTTAATAAATATTATTCAGTATGTTATTCTGGTTATAATGGTAGTTAAATAATCAAAATTAAATCAATATTCATTAAGATAGCTCAATAAAATTTATATATAATATATCAAATATTTCAATATAAAATAATTTAAAACATTTTTAAAAAATGCGAATAGTTTCAAAACTTTTTAATAAAATTTGTAATTTTTTTAATAAATATTATTCAGTATGTTTTTCCGGTCATAATGGTAGTTAAATTATCAAAATTGGATCAATATTCGTTAAAATAGCTTAATTAAAATTTATATATAATATATTAAATATTTCGATATAAAATAATTTAAAATATCTTTAGACCTGCAGGTCGATAGCATAGCGGTTATGCAAATCAAATAGTTGCTAGTTCAATTCCTCCCAACGGCGGATTAATGAAAATTTGAAAAATGGAAATGAAACACCACGGAATATAGAGAACCTGAGATATCTATGGATAAACATATTTGGAGAATAGTTATTTTGAGAAGTTGTAGCTATGAAGCAAGGCATGTTAGAACCCCGATTTGGAATAACTAAAATCATGAGATGTAATGTGAGACCAAGTCTGATAAAGATACTACAAGAACTCGTAGTAATACCGGATTGGCTAGTGAAATCCCAGTACAATAGAAAGGTGATTCGATCTCTCCAGAGTGTCATGCAGGTGGTCAGATCTAGGCCCTAATGAGGGAACCGGAGAATGTTGGGCAATAGAATTCCAGATGGATATATATAATACCTGTATGGGATTATAAAGGTCCTGTGACACTAAGTAGTATACGTACTAGAGTTAATTATATAATAGCTGGGACCAAAGTCACGGTGAGACAATAAAAAAAAAAAATTTTTAAAACATTTTTAAAAAATATGAATAGTTTCGAAACTTTTTAATAAAATTTGTTGTTTTTTTTGATAAATATTATTCAGTATATTATTCCGGTCATAATGGTAGTTAAATCATCAAAATTGGATTAATATTCATTAAGATAGCTTAATTAAAATTTATATATAAGGCCATATAAAATTAATTTTTTGGTTTTCATAATATAAAAAAAAAAAAAAGACCTGACAGGCTGGACTTTTATTTAAAAATTTTTAAAATTTTTTAAATTATAA